TTTTTTTTCTCCCTCCGGTATCTGTAACGTTAAAAGAGAGGATAGGGGTAGGGGTATGGGAGGGTGGGGAGGAAAGAAAAAAAGAAAGGGGGAGAGGAGGGAAAACGAAAAAACGTTTAAGGGAAATAATTTTATAATTTTTCCAGACTTTAAATGGGTTTTTACGTCTTTTATCCAGTCCTCAGCTTTCAAAAAGTCCCAGAAAAGTTTTAAACGTTATTTGCTATAAAAAAAAAAAATTATTATTATTAAAAAAGCGTTTGTTTGTCGGTACTTTGTATAGCTCAGAACGGTAAGAAAAGAAAAACGGGAAGAAATGCGATATTTTATTTTTTGTCCTTGTCGTCGTCGTCTTGTCTTTTTTATTCTTTTCTGTTTTCAGGTATTGAAAAATGGCATTTCGTAACTCTGCCAAAGGAATAAATGAGTAAAAGAAGACTAAAGAGAGAGAAGAGGAGAGAAAAGAAGAGAATAGGCAAGGGGGAGGAAGAGAAGAGCAGGGAAGAGGGGGGAAGGGGAGGAATAGTAGAAAAGAGCAGGGAAGAGGGGGGAAGGGGAGGAATAGTAGAAAAGAGCAGGGAAGAGGGGGGAAGGGGAGGAATAGTAGAAAAGAGCAGGGAAGAGGGGGGAAGGGGAGGAATAGTAGAAAAGAGCAGGGAAGAGGGGGGAAGGGGAGGAATAGTAGAAAAGAGCAGGGAAGAGGGGGGAAGGGGAGGAATAGTAGAAAAGAGCAGGGAAGAGGGGGGAAGGGGAGGCAGAGTAGAAAAGAGCAGGGAAGAGGGGGGAAGGGGAGGCAGAGTAGAAAAGAGCAGGGAAGAGGGGGGAAGGGGAGGCAGAGTAGAAAAGAGCAGGGAAGAGGGGGGAAGGGGAGGCAGAGTAGAAAAGAGCAGGGAAGAGGAGAATATGCAGGATGTTGTCATATCTATAAGTTCAAATATAATGGTAATGATAGATATCTTTCGGTTTTGGTTATTTACCCTTAAGTATCCCTCTTACGATATGCCCGATGCTACGCGACGGCCCCCCCGAGTATTGAGGCGGGTGACTCGCCTCCGTCCTCCCCCGCGCCCCAGAAACCCCCCCTCTTACGCTACGCGACGGTGGCGCCCCCCCCCCCGCGAGGACACGAAGGGGACCCGAGCGGGTTTACTACTCCCGCCGAGGCCCCCCCGTGTCCGTCTGCGTCGCATCCCTCCGACCCCCGTGTCGGTGACCGATGAGTTGACCCCCCTTAAAACCTGCCACCGCCGCCGTCTTCTATTGCCTTTTCCGTGAGCCCCTTGCGCCTAAGTATTTTAGTATTGCCCAATGATACGCGACGGTGGCGCCACCGAATATTGAATCGGGTAACTCGCCCCTTTCCTACCCGCGCCCAATGAGTTGACCCCCCCTTAGTACCTGCCAAAGTTCTCCCCCGCCGTATGTGAACGCCTTACGAATCGAAAAGTCCCCCTCGCGTCCCCCCCCCTCAACAGTTTGGGTACAGGTCTGTTTCTTCGTATTGGCCGAAAAGAACCCAAGCCGAAGTATCGCACACCCGGGACGATGAAGTCCCTGATTACGCTGCGAGATCGGCGAAAAATATTCGGTTTCGACTACCGAGATATTCCCGACGATTGTGAAAAATGCGCGAGTCGTTCGACTTGGGACCCCCCCGAACCAGAAACATCCTCTGTACCCGGCCTCCAAGTAGCTGGATTACAGGAGCACGCCACGACTCCCGGCCTCCCCTGCCACACCCTCTTTATAAA